AAAAAGAAGTAATATCAATAGGACACAGTTGGGCTCCAAATTTCCTTGTTTTAATCTTCACAAATTAATCAACTCTGATTTCTCATTTCACTCTTTCATATTTAAGTATCACTTAAGTTAGTATGAATACAGTGGAGGGAGAAATGTTAATCTCCACAAAAGAAAACAAATACTATATTGAAAGTCAGTCTCTGTCTCTGTCTCTTTGTGTGTGTATGTGTGTGTGTCTCTCTCTGTCTCTGTCTGTCTGTCTGTCTCTCTCTATCTCACATACCCAACCTGGGACTTGAACTCAGAGCTTAGATTCTATCCCCAAGCTTTTTTGATGAAGGCTAGTGTTCTTCCACTTGAGCCACGGACACCTCCATTTCTGTTTATTTGATGGTTAATTAGAGATAACACTCTTCTGCCCAGCTTCATTTCTGTTTATTTGATGGTTAATTAGAGATAAGACTCTTCTGCCCAGGCTGACTTTAACCACTATCTCCAGATTTCAGTCAGCCACAGGTGCCTGGAAAAAGGGTTCTTTTTGAGAGCCCCACAGACAACGAACACTATAATTGTTACCCATCAAAGGCAACAACAACAACAAAAAGTATACACAGCACCTAATTTGTGGTCTCACTAAAGAGGAATGCACAAAATTTTAGCATGTTTAACCAAACTGATTCTTTGCTTACCATTTCATGCCATCTGGATTGGCATTGACTGGACTCCAAGTTTCTTAAATCACCAACCAAAAGTAAAAGAATGTGGATAAATGATGGGATGGAAGTTAGAGGCCCTTAAAAGCATGGCCAGGTTCAAACAGATATCCTAATTAATCAAGGAACTTTACAATACAAGATGAGTCTAATAAATATTGAATATATGAACACTAATCACCATGCATCCTATAGTGAGCTATGAAATAAATGCATTGGGTAACACTATTCATGATTGACAATGTGGTTCTCTTTTACAGAGCATTTTTAAAACCAAAAGATGATACTTTATCAGTCACAAAACTAGTGTGCTCTGTGCCAAATTGCCCTGCTCATTGTTTCCATGCGCTTGTGAAGTGAGCACTCTGACCCAACCTAGTTGTATGGGATGAGGAATGTCTTATCAAATTCCCATTCATCTGTGGCCAATCTGTGTAATCAATCAACCAATTCAGTCTACAGTCCACAGAAGGAGGCAGTCTTTTGTGAGTGCTACCTTTGGGCATACTTCATCTAATTACCACACATAAGACATTAAGCTAGTCATTCAACACTGTCAAGTTTGCCAAATATCTGAAAAGTATCAGGAATACAAAACATGCCACTTCTCCTTTAAATGTATTCATCTTGGACTTCAGGATTCTTATTAGCAGGAGAATTAAACAGCAGAATCTGTCAATGATCGCCCTGATTATAACTAACACATGGGTAGAGTTCAACTCAAACTTCCTGTAACTTCACATTCAAGTCAAACTATGGGTTGTTTTAATATCTCAGGAAGCATGACACTTAACATTTCTCTAGCAGTTACCCACATGACCTCATATACATGACATAGGTAGATATCACCAAAATAACCACACCCTTTTATTCCATGCACTTGATGCCCACCAATTTGGGCAAATAGGACAGATAATATTCTTGTCAATATTTGGGCATTGATATAAAATAAAATTTTACTTGCAAAGACTGGATGTAATTTCTGGATCATTATGGGTATCATGCAATTTAAACCACTGTAAGAACTAGAATGTACACATGTGTAATAAATTATGTAGGTGCTGTTTCTTAGACTCTTCCTCCCAAAGTCATTGTGACTATGGTTTCAAGTCCACTCTATGTTAAAAAAAAAAAATTGCAGATTACAAGTCTATCTGTATTGAGCATTAACTCATCCATTCTCCCTTGAACATTCACTATTGCAAGCTTAATATATATTCTAAAACATGGCTCTGTATATAGATAGCAAAAGCCAAAACAGATAGCAAATCCAAAACAGAATAGGATTGAGTCACAGCACAGATATAAAGTACTCATGGAGATCAGAAAATAAGAGGTAACCTATGTACAGAAGTGAAAGTGAAGTGGACAGTTTCAGAATTTGAACTCAGGACTTCCTGCTTGTTAGGCAGACCTACTCTAATTCCTGAGGCATGCTTCTAGCATAAGGGGCTCTTTCTATCTGCCAAAAAGTGTGAACCTTTTCTGTACATACATAGGTATATAGCTCTGTGACTGACATCAAGGTAAGAAGCTACTATTTCATAAAAGAAAGAGAACGTGGATTCAACAATATGCCAAACATCAGGAACAGCTGCCAGCAAGGGAAGGCCCTGTGGAAAGCCTGACCATTGGGGAAATATTTCATAGTTTAATAACAACCAAACAGCAATGTACATATTTAACTGATTACAGATTGTTAAGAGGACTGCTTTCAGTTGCTTGCCATTTCCCTCCTTACTATATGTATTGCCCAAGAGTGCATGTGAGATTTATTAGTTGTTTGGATGTACTTCAAAACTTTTCCTCTCAAAATTCAGATGCATGTTAAAAAGATCTTATTCTGCAGTTCTTTAAGTGCTTTGACAGTATATTTGAGGTTGCAAGGAATTATGTTGATAAATTTTCACGTTTTATTTCTCATAATATACACATAGAACTATCCTCATTTTGAGGCCAATAAGGTGAAGGTTTGAAAAGTTTAGTGGTATGCCTAAGTAAAATATGGCCACAGCACAGATGTTCGATATTCAAAATGTTTTGTCTTCTGATATCCATGTTCAAAACAAGTCTCACTGAATCTCTTACATATATGTCAAAGTAGAGCCACCAGCCCCTCTGGACAACAGCCTTTTTTTCAATATAGGAAAGAGGATGACAATAGTCATATTAGCCCTGACCAGATGCAAACTACTGTTACAAGCATTTTACATGTGTTAATCTAATGTCCTCCGTGACCTTTGTTACCTACCTATTTTTAAAAAGGAGGAAACTGAGAACAAACAACTTTAAAAATCTTGAGATCACAGAATAAGCAGAAAAGTCAGGATGGCCCCCCTTTGGTCTTCTCTAATGATATACCCTACCAGAGACCCTGGTGCTACCAGACCAGTCTGCATCTTACAACCAGGAGAGCTGATACCACCACTCCAAAATTATGAACAGGGCATGGAAATGATGAATATTATTTTTTAAGTAATTATGCATCCTATCTAGGAATAGTGCTCTTTGGATACTTAATAATCTCAACAGCAATCATTCAATTTGACTGTAACATGTAAGCTAAAAATGTTACTCTAACTAGTATTTAACATCAAATATATTCGAAATTCCTTTTGACAACTGCACCTGTGTATTGATGGATTCAAATTCCTCAAAACAGAAAAAGCTAAGACTAGAATATAGCCTCCTACTAACTAAATTACCTGGGAGATATATCAGTTCTTTTAATAAACTACTATATTTTGCTGCTACCTTTGAAAAACTTCCCACATAACATACACACTATTTCTGGAAGAAAAATTGTGAAGGAATCTAAAGTCATCAAAGAATTCTAAGGCCACAACTCACAACAGGTATTTGTAGTTTTCTTAATATGGGAGACATCAGGTCTCCAGGTGTAAATATGAAGGTTCCCTTGCTATGTTTGCTGCGCATACTTTCTAGTTCTAGGTCAGTTTGGGCATTCTGACCAATTTACCATCATGCTTCACCAGAACACAATAAATGCCAAGTGCCCCGGTGGGTCAGTCTTCTCACCTCCCAGCCTCTTATTGCTATGAGAAGTGCCACTTTTCCCCTTTGCCAACAGCAATAGCTGTTTTATTGTCCTGTGTCTTAATGTCCCACTTTGTGAAATATTTTAAAAATTTCATTGAGGCATAGAGAATGTTTTAACAAATTGCTACTAGGATGAGTTGTGAAATTATTTTTCTTAGCCCAGCTCTTATGTTTATACACGTTATAGGTAAGGAGCAGTTGTTCATGCCACATGAATTGTTCATTGCCTAGTTTAAATCATGGCAAATTATTTCTTCATTCTGTTATCATTAGTCATTTGAGGTGCTGACAATGATTTAAGAATATTCTTAAAAATATACAATATTTAGCTTATTTCTTGAGATTAAAAACATGTCTGGCTTAATTATAAGGTATTTTAAAAAGGGGGAGAATGAAAGGGGTTGTATTGACCAATATGCACTGTACTACTAAACTGATATATGGAATTATAACCTCTTTGTACAACCACTTAATACTAATAAAAATATTTTTCAAAATGAATAATCAAATAATTTCAGCAGAGTGGCCTTCATGGAGGATGTAATATTTTTTGAGGGAGGTGCAGAAAACAATTCCTAGAGTTTTAAATTTGCTTTTAATTCAAAAGAAAATTCCAGAATTTCAGTATCTCTAAGCCCTATAGTTAAGACCTAATTTGGAAAGCTACTTTAATATATATTTATTTATTTATTTATTTATAAATCGTGTATTAGTGCCTTAAAAAATAAACATAAACATGACATTGAAGCAAACTGGCACAGTCTGACAAGTTTTAGAACATCAGCTCACAAAATGAATATGCTTGGATTCAGACAAACATACAAATACAGCTTTTTACCTGAAAACCACAGAGACAACCCTAAGAGCTATGTTAAAATGCTAAAGATATCGAAGGTGGACAGAGTCCCGATAGGAAGGTGGGCACTGTGAAATATGCTTCACAAAGCTTGGCGCGCATGCACACACTCTGCGATGTGGGGGAGACAGAGACACCAATCACCATCGATTTTGTCCTTACTTGCAGCCGCACAAGTATCCTGCATGATCCGATTCTGACCGGCACCTGGAGCGGCTCTACATGCCAGTCATCCCAATGTACTCAGGGATGTAAACACCTTATAATTAGAAAATGTGAAGGTGTCAAGGACGTTAGACAAATTGAAAACACATCCAAAGATTAATTTTTTAAAGGCATTGAAGAAATAATTCATTGCAAATTTCAATAAGAGGATGTACCTGTTCCTTCACGGAAGCTAGAATAGTGGTGGCTGTGGTCTCGGGTTCCATGCCTGGGCCAGTGGAGGCTGCTTCCTGGTGGGTCTGTGTTTGTCCCTCCTCCACCAATGACGCCTGCTCAGGAGCGGGCATTCCTCCTGCAATCAAGCAGGCAAAGGGTTAACACTTTCTCCAGGGTGCCTACAGGGATTGATGGCTCCTAAGAACTACAGTGGATTTCTACATCACAACTTCTTTAGTGCGTCCATTTCTGGAAGGTAATATATAGGGCCAAAATTATAGCTAGTATTATAAAAACTAAATGAAAATGATAATAAAGACTAACACAACATTGAAAGATCATCATACTACAAAATGTCCTGAAAGGGTTGGGAGATTTCTTAATTAAAAATGCACTAAGGAAAGTAAGATGTCAGAATCCAGTTTAATGACTGAATTTCCTAAAGATACACAACACAGTAAGTAAATATGATGAAACTATCAGGTAGTTAAATAATATACATTGTAGGTTGCTACAGTGTCAGTTTTTAAAGTATGCACACACATAAACATTGACAGAATTACAGAACAGGTGTGTGTGTGTGTGTGTGTGTGTGTGTGTGTGTGTGTACACAACAGAAAAAAAAGGATGCAAAACTCAAGAAAACCTTGAAAATAAATAAATACAAGTATGAAATGTTAATACAATGCCTTAATAATGTGCAATGCAGATAACCTTGGAGGAGTCTTATGGCTGACTTGCTTTCCTTAGAAGAATCTAATTATCTAAAGATGGCAATAGCTAGGGGAATGATGTTGAAAAAGAGATACTTCTTTTCAGTTACTCAGACTGTAGCAGAATGGTTCTTAGCAGGAGATAGTGCCTCTCCTTAACATTCTGAGACTAGCCTAATGCTGGCATAGGTAATAGATGCTCAATAATGAATATATAAATGAGGTTAGCCTCTTTCCACCATCTCATTTCAGTCATTTGGCAAATCCCACCAAAACCTAGAATGCCAAGAAGACCATATTTGTTCACATGTATTTTTCATATACTCATACAGATCATGAATATTTTCCACAACAGTCTTCATAGTTTTTCCAAAATATCATGTTGGGATGTTATCTGAATTTCTTATCAGCTACCTGATCAAATATAGATCAAATATATAGATCTATATTTAATCTGGGGATTTTACCCCTTCATTCAAATTTCAATATCAGCATTTGATTACAAAATTACAAAATTATGTGATTACAATATCCTAACCTGTAAATAAAAAAGAAAATGTATAAGGGGAGGCACAGAAATGGAGGGACAAAGGGTGAACAAAGGCAGCCATGGCACTCACTAGACACTATGTTGAAAATGAACTATACAACTTGTGGGTAGGGATGGATGGGAGGGAAAACCTGGGAGAGAAGAGGTAATGTTATCCAAAAATGAAATGTACTCTTTATCTGACTTATGTAACTGTAATCCCTCTGTACATCACCTTTGTAACAATTTAAGTTTTTGTTTTGTTTTGGGTCAGTTGTGAGGCCTGAACTCTGGGCCTGGGTGCTGTCCTTCAGCTCTTTAGCTTAAGGCTAACACTCTACCGCTTGAGCTACAGCACTACTTCTAGCTTTTTCTGCTTTTGTGGTGCTGAGGAATCAAACCCAGGGCCTCATGCATGCAAGGCAAACACTCTACCACTGAGCCACCTTCCCAACCCAATTTAAATTTTTTTAAAAGGAAGATATACACAGCACCCAAATTCCCATCTTAGTCTTAATTCTCCTAACTTCCAGGTTGGTAGAGAATGACTGGGTTCTAGTCTATAGGGTGGTTGTTAGTGCTGTAGTAATAAGCACAAATGGTCAACAGGCCCAATGAGAGATGCCATCAGCTCCATGATGAATTCTTATGCCCATTTTAAAAGGTGAATTCTCTACCTCCCAGCTACATAGCACAGTAGGTAAAAATGGATCCAGTCTGCAGAGGGCCTTCTCAAGTATGACTGGAAGGAGGAGCTTCAGGTTGGGAGCACAGTGGAGGTAAGATGAAACCTCTGAGTCTCATGATCCTCACTGATAAAAAAAAAATAGCTGCCTAACTGCTTTACACACACATGAAATGATTTTATGGTATATGTCTATATTTGTACGCTACTGACACACAGAACACATTTAAAATATCAATTAGATAAAATCTCCCCCTACACTTATTTAGAGACAAGATGAATTATTTAAAGACAAAATGAATTCTGTCAAAGAAAAGAATGCCTTACAGAATTAAAAATTCTGTCTTAGTAGTTAAGGCAAGTAAAGATATGAAAGTATTCAATGCTGCTGAAAAAAGAAAGGCACACCTTAACATTAGCAGATGGTTTGTAAAGAACAAAAATGTTACTATGCAACAGTGAAACAAATAATTGCAAGAACCAAAAAAATTAAATGTCATGAAACAACTGATGTTTGATAAGAAAAAAAGAAAAAATTCAGTAAACAAAGACAACTTGAGAAAAGGAGAAACAGAAAACCTTTACATCAGTAATTACCTATTCTTACTATAAATAGGAGGTACCACACTATTTAAGGGAAGATAGAGGAGGCCGGAGATAGTTATGGCTCATCAAGTAGATGATGCAGCAAAACTTGAATCAGACCAAGGTAAAGTATAGAAAGATACAAATGATGACATTAACACTAAAGTCAAGAGGATATACATTTGTACAGAAAATGACAATAGTATAAATGCAGCAAAAGAAAATTTCATAGGCAGGAATAATGTTGAATTCTGAGTTCTCAGTGGCTCGGTTACATCATAGGTGCTCACAAACACTCAATGGGTGAAGACTGAGAACAATAGTACTCATGCATCATTTCAGGTGACATTTATCTACTCTTATTTTTATTATAGTCCCCAAATACTGCAACTAACACAAAGAGCAGTTACAAACCTACTGAGGTTACCTTAGTAGATTTCTTGTAGTTCTTATAACTGTAGATCATTTATTAAGTTGGAAGAAATAAGCTAAGTAAGTCAAAAGAGAGGTAGAATCATCTTTCTACAATGTGCACAGGTAAATATTCATAATAACGAAGGTCAAAGAATTACGTTATTCCTCTTCCCAAGTGGCAAGGAAAAAGCCAAAAGACAGTGAGAAATTAGGCTTTGTGATTTTTCTCATGACCTCAATTTACTTGATTTGAGTGGTCACATTTTGGGGACCGACTTGAGAAAAGTTATAAGCAGACTGTTATTTTTTTAGGGGTTCAAGAACAGAGAACGGAAGATTGCCAGTAATATCAAAGGAGGGAACTGTCATGGTTCTACTCAGAAAAAGACAAGGTAGATTCCTCCTCACATTAAATTATAGAGCTAGACAAGATATTGGGTGAGCTGTGGAGAAAGCGTCATTTGTAAAACCTAAAAGCAGCATACAAAAGGAAGGTCATGTTAAGTTGTTCTAATTTCCATTTCTGTCAGGGTAAGCAGGGAAATGCAGTGTGTGTCTAAACTGTAGTGAGGCACATAGGACATTATAAATCACACAATGATATGATAATTAACATTAAAATGGGGCTGAAATAAGGGCAAGTGGTGACTATCTAGATATAGCTAAATGAATATCAACCTACATAAGGTCACAGGGCAATGCTAGAGTTCTGAACTTGGCCAAATCCTAACCAAAAACTCTAGCCATAACAGAAATAAGTATGTACAGAGTATACCCACAGTCTTCAATAATTGAATTCACCAGAGAGTATAATTAAAGTGCAAAAACTACAGTTTATTCTGCATCAACGATCTGCCTCTGACATTAAGAAAACAGACAAACAAACAAACAAACAAACAAAAACCAGGATAAGTGTGGGTTCCTGTATTGAGGTTAGCTCAAAAGCATGCTGGGCATAAAAAATGTGGCTACTTTAGAGCCAAGAGCAATATGAGTGAATCACTGCCCAAAAGCTAAAGTCAGCTTATAGTAATATAAAACATATATTAAAATATAGTAATGTATGAAAGCAAAGGCAGTCTGAATAAGCATAGAATGAATAAAGTATTTTAGTAGCAAACAGAAAAATACTAAGAGCATTATTATGTAACAAAGAAAAATTTCTTTGTTTTACTTACAATGACACTGGAATACATATTATGGAATAAAATACAGTATGGGGAAATTAAGAAAAATAAATAAATATCTTCAGTGTCTTATGGAATCTAGTCTAGATAAAAAGAACACCAGATAAAATTTTCAGTTAAAATATTTTCTGGCAATAGAAACAATAACAAAATCTGCAACCATTTAGAGGATATGGGGTAATTACTAATCTGTTAATTAGGCAGCTCATCCAAAAAAAATTTATTGACAAGCATTTATATAAAAGGGAGCTACATGCTAAACTCATGGCAATTGTAGAGAATAATATATACATAATAGATGTTTTTATTTATGGAGATATGTGTCTGTGCATATGTCTCTGTGAAGAGTACTTTTTTTATATGTGTATATATAGAGATATATGATGTGTGTGTGTGTACAAAATATTTAAACAAAGACTTTCCAAGAAAAGGCTAGAAGACTAATAGGGAAGTCTTCAACCTTACTAGTAACTAGAAAAACAGAAATTAACACTTCTAGGAGATATCAATATACAAGCATCATAATAGCAAACATTTAACTTGAAATGCTGGCAAGGATGGGGGACAATGGTAACTGATAATGCTGCTGATAATTATGTAAACAGTGCCATTACTTTGGAATGTATTTTGTCATTGTCTAGAAGATCTGCCAATAAACACATCCTGTACCCAAGTAATCCCATTCTTGATTAAGTAGAGACACTCTGGGTGCCAGGTATACTCCTGGAAGGACATGCAGATATGTTCACAGTAGCACTCTTGTAAAACCCCTAAATTGAAAACATCTCAAGTGGCCACTAATAGTGGAATACATAATATAATGTGAAATATTCACTAATGTATTTCACCTACAGCTACATACGAACCAAAGCTCTATAAAAGGACTATTCCCACAACCATAATGTTGAATCAAAGAAGTTTAAAAAAAAATAAAGTGGAATATCATTCATGCAAAGCTTTAAAACAGGCAAGATAAACTATTTATAAGAGAATGTGGATATAGACATGAATACACAGCAAGCA